AAAATAGTACACCAGTAAAAAGCAAAATAGAGATGTTTACAATGTCTAGATGGAAAAATGCTTGTTATCAACAAAAATTAAAGTCAACATTTATAGAAAGACTTGACTGATTTGAGTTGATCAATATATTGGCGTAGACTGTTTCTTTAAAAAAGAACAAGCTAATTGATAATCAAATTGTAAACGTTTGTTTTTGAACTCTATATTATCAAGCGATGAAAAAAATTCCTTTAGAAATAAACTATGTATGCACCGCACCGGTTTCGGTTTTGAAACCGAAAAATCGACACAAAAAAAACGATGTTCGGTTTAAACCGACATCGAAAACATTTCAAACATTTTTTTTTAGGTTTTAAATGATATAATCAATTAGCACATAACATCGATTTATGTCAAAGAAGCATCTAATTTCATCTGTACCGATTTCAGTGTCCCAACAATCAAAAGACTCAAACTGCTGAAACCAGTAAAAACCTAATCTTTTTTTGTTCTAATAGACTTAGATAGTGTCTAATAATTTTTATGCTTTGATGCTAGTTTAGACTTTTTGTGTAAAATAAGAAAAATAATAACTAGTAATAATCACAAGCAAGTGGGAGACACTCATAATAGTAATCATTATTTCGTGTAGATAAAAAAAGACAGAATATAAGCAACAGTAAGAGTATAAGAGAATCAGCAAGAACATATCCCATGGCTTTTTAATGTTTTCTGAAAAGGCTGTTTGTTGCTCAAAATGGTTCAGAAACTATCATTTATCTAATAAATGCTCTTTCTTTAAGTCAGAATTAACTACTAGTGGCGATCTATGTTGATATACATTGGCATGAGAGACGCCACGAAGGCTAGGCACACAAATAAATTTTCTCTCGCATTCATCTTCAAAGTAAAATAGTACCATATACGAAAATTTCTTGAATGTGACAATGCTCACTTTTTCCAAGTGTCGATTTAAACCGAACATCGTTTTTTTCGGTGCATACCTAAAATAAACTAACTGCAATTCTGCATGATGATATTTTTTCATTATTTAAAACACAAAATATTTTGATGTGTTGAGTGAGAGATATTCATTGTCAAATCAATATATGTTTATTTCGCTTTTTATCTAATTGATATTTTTTTTATTCATTTATTTTTATATGTATCAATACACCATCATCATTCTCACCAATGACAACAACAATAAATAGATAATGTACGTATATTTCGATTTATGCCGCATTTTTAGATCAATCAAATATGAACGTATCAGAGAACAAGCACATTATACAAATGGGTAAATAAAAAATCGGAAATTTTAGTTCATTAATCATTCATTCATTTTCTCTTCTATTAGACTAGCCTAGCCGTGTTTAACATTCAGTTTTTTTTTCTTTTTTCTGTTTCTTGACCATTGCCGCCACATAGATAACTATACGTTGTTTTTAGAAAAAACTGTATCTAGTTCACAATGATGCCACTATCCCGTATGTCTAACATTCATCGCTTTTATATACATAGACAAGAGAATGACCGCTTCTATTCAAATAGATAGAAACGGCAGACACTAGTTTTTTCTCACGTATAATATACCAAAAAGAGCGTGATGGCATCACGTCATCGAAATATGTACGGCCGAGAACGAGAAAAAACGAGTTTCGTAAGAAGAAAAAAAGAGAAATAATGTTGAAAACGTCAGAAAAAAAGAGAAAAAACGTTTTTTTCACACATATGTGAACATAGAACGCGGTTAGTTCACTTTTCTATCTTCATTTAGAGAAAACTCTGACATGACATATAATAAAAAAGAAAGAAAGAGATGCACTTTTGAACTTGTGTATTAAACTTGTCCTCTTTGTCGAACCTTCGCCAATGATAATGGAATTATAACAACGCCAAGGTAAATGTATTTTTCTCACCGTTTATCCTAATCGTTCAAAGTTTTAGATAGCTCTTAATTAACCGAATATATTTAAAAATTTCACAATCATCGTTCTCTACCTCACCTATACTACGCTTGCAGAAAATAAAGATTTTGAATATTTCTAACGTTCATTTCTAGATTGATTTTCTTCTCAATTGAGAAAAGTTGCTATTATAAAAAATTATTTTTCTTTTTTTTCGAGGGAACCAAAAGTCGAAAGTCGATCGAAAATGAAATGAAGATCTATCTCAAACGGATTCGGAATAGCTTATTGCTCTATGTCGAAGAATCTATATTTTTCGTTTTTTGGTCACAATGTATATTGTTTTTCATTATTTTTACTTTGAATCCAATCCCTACAGCATAAAAATTCCTCTATATCGTATAAATTTCCTGCTGTACATAGTTCTAGAAAAAGCAAATAAAAATTTGATTTTCTTCTGATTCTTAGGGTTCCAAATGTAACCTTTTGACTATATATATCATGTCAAGCTCTGGTTAAGGAAAACAATATTAAGTTGTTAAGCTTTTTTATCGCACAGTCTAACATGGAAATTTCATATTTCTAATTTAACCAAAAAGTGTAAACAGATGTTAGGTGTACATTTAACAGCGCATCATCTTCTCTACGTCTTCACATCTTTGAAATGTGCATAATACCAATCAGGGACTATTGTTCTGTTGTTTATGATACTGCTGCAAAAATGCATTTACACCTACTAGTTTCTGTTGAAACAGGGGCAGCCAGAATGATCTGTAATGGCTATGAAACGAGCAGTTTGAGTACTGATGAATATTTTCCTGATTTATCTGAAAGCCGAAATTATTTTCGTTTGTTACATTTTCACGAAATTATGATAGGAAAAAGCGCTCTTTCAAGATTTAACATGATCACATCTTTAACTAGAAGAACGTCGGATAGGCTGAATAATCGCTACCAGTAGACTATTCCTAAGACAAGCTTAGAAGCAACTAAACATTCTTCTCTTCTCCGTACATGTACGGGGTGGAACCTCTTGCCACGATCTGCTCAATTTACTATAGGAGCTTTTAGGCGAAGGCTTAGACTGTATTAAAATATGTAGTTATGTCGACAGACATGTGTTTTAGCTGGGATTTTTGTTTTTTTCAATGCACGTTCTGTTTTTAAACGTAAGTCCAGATTCGGCGCCATAAGCTACACAGGTAGAAAAAAAATGTTTTTGGAACTTAGAAACTTTTGGTGTATTTATAAGAGTTGATTATCCGGCCCCATTTGTTCTTGAGACGAAATTTCGAATAAATATATCTGCATTGATATGATTTACTCAATATATATAAATATATATATGGAGTAAATCAAAGTAAAAATGCAATGTTCACAGCCTAGCGGGAGGTTCAGTCAGAGACAGAGTCTGTCGACGTCGCAACTTGTACACAGCGCATTTGCATTCTAGCTTTACAACGGTAATTAGAATCTGTAATTCTCTAATATCCATTCCGTATTTTTTCTAACATCCTAGACACATTCGTGTTAAGTAAACTGATTCATTGATTGATCCTCAATATAACGAACTTTTAAACACATATTTTGGGAAGCAAATGCCTCTGCAGACTTCTTAACCGAAAGCAAATGTTCTCCGCACTATTTCTTAAGCGTTTAAAATCGTTTTTCTGATGGGATAAGCGAAACATCGCAAAAATGCGTGTTTGTGACTTCTTTCAGTGAAATTATATTTTTTTTGGTTAAAATTCTACTTTTTGTAATTTTAAAGATGACGTTCATAATGAGTGTAAATTTTCCTACTACTGTATCTTCTGTATCTACTGTAATATCTACTGTCTGTGCTTTTGAAAAATTCAAGAAAAAAAGATTTTTTAATAATTCTGGAAGAAGGAAACTGCAAACATTAAAAATGTCATAGAACAATTTCGGCAAACTATATGAAGGTTAATTGTCGACACATCACTCTGATACATTCCCAATCGAAAAATATCGATTCCATTGGGGAAAAGAATTTTTGACTAATTCACTCTTATCCTTTATTTCATTTTGATTTATGTTGCATTTTTTCTCTAATTGAAAAATGATTATCAAAATGGGAAATAGATTTTTTTCTGTCTTCTCATACATTCTTCTTTTTTATTTTCACATACTTTGTTATACACAATTATCGTCTCTAGATAAGAGTTAAATATAGATCCCAGCAACCTATACGTATTCTTATTGAGCTTCTTATAACATTTTAATGTAGAGAATGAATCCTAGTTGAAAAAAAAATGAATGTATACTCCCAAGATCTAGTACGAAGATAACAAAATCGACAAGTTTCCATTATCATAATGTAATTATGTTTTATGCGAGTAGATGTACGGAAAAAAAAATAATTTGCTAGCAGTTGAACACTGAAACCGTTCACGTGAGATAATTAATTTTTTTTGTGTTACATTACTAAACAAAAAAAAATCTAATCTCTAGTTCGTTTCTTCCAGAATTTATCAAGATAATTTTAGGGTGAGCTTATTATGTATCTGTACAAATTTTAATTTTAAAACAAAACATCACACGCAGACTTGATACGATCAAATTAAAATTATTTAAATATCATGAAAAGATTACTGTATTCATCCTGTTTCTCTATCTAATTATTTTATTTAAATTTTGTTACGTTTCGTGGTAGTTTTAAACTTCTTGATATTGATACGGAAAAGATTTATCCTCTCTAGTTACTATGGCCATCTTGTTTTCGTATCACTATCATATTTATAAGAGAGACAAAGAATTGATGATCAAAATGATCTGAATAGATGAAAATAGTGGGAAAAGTTCAAAATGGTCAACCGTTTTGTTTTGTTCTATAGTTCAATTTGAAGAAGTTGTAAAACTACAACGAAACGTAACAAATTTTAAATAAAATAATTAGAAAGAGAAACAGAATGAATACAGTAATATCAACCTTCCAAAACAGAACTCAATTCATGAAAAGATTGTAGATGTATATCTTTGATGAGATTTCAGTGTATCGTTGTGTGCTATCTAAAAGGATTCAGCTAAATATAGGAATTCTATTTTTGTTACACATTTATTTTTAGACAGTAACAATAGTTTAAAATAATGGATCGTTATGAATTTGAAACAAATCGTGATCCATTAGGTCATCAAACAACATCAATATTTCCCTATTGGATATCTATAACAGAAAATCAAATGCCCTATTTATATCCAACATGTCTATCGTCTGGCATTGTATTTTCATTATTAACAATGATAGCATTAGCTCAACATGTTTATTTAACATCAAAACCCTATTTATTTATTCAATCAATTATTGATACAATATTTTTAATTATTGGTGTTATATTAACTTTACCAAAATATTATCATTTTATACCAACATTTTATAGTGGAAAAATTTATATAAATGCTTTACATTATGCATGTTGGTTCATTGTTATATGGATATTTATTATTGCATGTTTAGGTAAATTATTCTTATAAATATCATTGATGATTTAATAATATTTATTTTTCTCTTATGTTTGTTTTTTTTAAGATCATACAGTTACATGTATTCAATCAAATGGATATAATGAAAAATTATTTTGTTCACCATTTAAATCAAGAAATATAATTATTTTAATTATAATTATGGGTACAATATCAGCTATACCACAAATATTTGCATGGGAACCAACAAATGAGAATACATTTCGTCCAACAAATTTAAAAACATCATTTTTATATGAACAAATTTATTTTTGGTATATACAAATTATTGTTTTATTTATACCATTATTTTCAATTTTTGTATTTATTGGTGCATTATTATATACATTTTGTAAAAAACGAGAACATTATTTATTAAATGATCATGATCAACATCAACATAATCATATATCTCATTATACAATAAATTATGGAAATAATGAACAAGATAGTATTCAACGATTAAATAATCGTGAAAGACAAAATTTAAGTAAATTATTTTTATTTAGTTGTTTTTTACATCTATTATTAGTTATGCCCTATTCATTTGTCATTTTTTTTGGTAAATTATTTTCACGTGAACAAGAATCAAAACATAATACAACAACAACAACAACAACTGGATCATTAGGACGAGAAATATTAATTGCTTATGATACATCATTATTACTCGTTTATATTAATATTTTAATGAGATTTTTTGTCTATATTATATTTAGTGGAAAGTTTCGTCTATGTTTACGAAAAATATTTACATGTAGAAGTTGTTGCTGTTCTAGTAACAAAAAAAATTTAGATGATGTTTAAAAAAAAATGATCGATAAAGATAAAAAATAGTTGAATAAGGAACAGTATATATGAAATTTTTCTAATATAGCAACTTCTTTCAAGTATATATATATATATATAAAATGTAATTGATTATAAAAACCACTACAAACGACAATTTTCATTTAATATTCACATTCTCATTATCGACAATTTCTACTGTTTCTTTTTTGAATTGTTTTTGTTCTTTTTGTATTTACATATTAAAGTTTAATTCATGTAATTTTTTGTACAAGATTTTTTTGTTCTTTTCAGTTTAATTATAAATGAATTTTGATCACATATAGATATTTAAAGGGCTTAAAGATATAGAATTATCTAAACTACAGAATAAAGTTCTTCTATGCCTATGAATATTTTACAACATATCTCTAATAATTTTAAATCTATTGGATTAGTTCAAAAGTTTATTGGTAAATGAAAATAGAGAGATATATTCTAAATAGATGTAAAATTGACAAAGTCTCTTTCAACAAACTAAAACTTCAGAAAGAATAAATTGTTTAGAATTCTCTATACTTTCTTACATTTGTTAGAGATTTTCTTGTTAGTTTAGATCATTGTTTAAAAACTTTACTGATGAGAAAAATAACTAGAATAGATGCATAAACTATCTATGTTTACATGATATATATCATGTCATAAAAAATGAACAACAAAAAATGAGCAAACTAAATATAATAAAAAGAAAATAAAATAAAAATCTGTCACATTTTTCTATAAATAAAAAAAAAACACAGTATCCAGAAAATTGTCCGTTTTTTGGGATGGTATGTGTGTGTGTGTATACAATCACACTACACCCACTAGTGAAAGAATACAACTAGCAATAAATTAAAAAAGGTGTACATCATAGAATAAAAATGCTCACCAAAAAAACAACAACAAACAAGGTGAGAAAAATGGTTTAAGGAGAATCTAGTAATTCCATTTCAGCGGAAACCGCATCATGAAATAAAGATAAGATATCTTCTATGTTTTCTTCGTCATCACTTTTTAATTTAGCTAAAAGTTCTTTAACACCGTCTCGCTCGAAATCTTCTAAACGTTTTTCTTTCAATTGTGTCTTTGTTAAATCTCGATGTGCTACGTACAATGGATGTGCACGTGTTGATTCAACTTGGCTAGGAGGTGAAATGGTCAATATACCAATTTCAGCTTTTTTGGAAAATATAAATGGTTTGAATAACGACGTTTTAGGATTGGGTGTGGCAGTAAAGAAGTGACAATGTGAAAATTTCTTTTTATCATCTCCTGTTTTTAAGACAGATACTTGAGAACCTGTTGTAAGAAAACTATCCGTTTTATCGGACATACATATTCCACTTTGTTCATCTCTTAGTACAGCCATCATATCAAGAGCCGAAAATGTATTATTTGCCGTTAATTTTTCAAGCAATTTTCGTCCATTTTTAAGACGTAAATCTGAACATGAACTAGGATCTAAAATTACATATTTCATGTTTGAGAATATAATCTGATCAAAGAAAACTAACCCTTAAATGTTTTTGCAAAATCCAACTTCCCAGAGCCGTTCCATAAATGTATTTCCTGAGCAAATTTTTCTAAATTTTTCGATGTTAAATCATAATCAGTACCAATTGTTAACACGTTGGAAATGCTATGGTAACCTTCTGTTAATTTCTTTGCAACCCATACACGATCGGCTGTTTCGATAATCCAACCTCCAGTTTGATCAACTACTATAAAACTATTATCGTATCCAGAAGGCAGATTTGTGGCAACATCAAAACATGATCCTCCTTGGCCGTAAGTCTCAATCAAATCACAAATAGTTTTCATTGCATCGTCAGCTGTTTTTGAGCGTTCGATAGCTAAGCTGAAACAAACAACAAAAACAATAAATGTATTAAATAAAAATCAACAAAGACAAACATACCGTACAATATCAAGACCAGTTAAGGCTGGTTCTCTCCCATCATACGGAATTTTTGTATGAACAGCGTCGTTACCTACACAAACTCCATATTCATTCGATCCCATTTCAGCACCCCAACACCATGCCGGTTTACTCAAAATACAATGGTATGTCTTTGCAGTTGGAATTTTGATGTGGGTACACTGCAAATTAAAATATCTTCTAGTATTGATAAACAAAAAGTAGCAAAATCTTACTTCAACAGTATCTTCGGAGCGCTGATTCGGTGAAACGAGTATAACTTCTTGAATTTCGTTTGATGGTCGATCCGAATTTTTTCCAAATATAATAAAATGTGAGTCAGTACACGGTGGAAAAACGACAAATGTGTCGCACGATCGAGCTACAAATGACATCTGAAAATAGAAACATAACAAACAATGATTTACTTGTACACGCGAATTGATACATCATACACAAAACATAAACAATAACCTTTTGCATATATGGCACGTTTGTAACATAAGATTCTCCTGTTTGATAAAAGCTTTTTCATGTCTAAAAATTGAAATTACTTGAAGGGTCTAAGTTTTCGAAGAACGTTTTGGTTTCAGAAAAGCCCGGCGTTGTTCTTTTTCGTTCTTCTAACATTTTAAAAGCATTTTTTCCG